CGACAATTTGACCCCTAACCCGATTTTGTCACGATCCCGTTTCATTTCTCACTTAAATTTACAAAACATTAAATTGACCCCGACGTGATTTGAACATGCAACCTTCTGATCTGGAGTCAGACGCGCTACCGTTGCGCCACAGGGTAGTCTGAAAGCCAGAAAACTATAAGGTACTAAGAGTAGACGGTATTCCTTAATATGTTCCCTGTTACATCTAAAAATCTTCCCTTTTTACACAGAACGTGATATTGTGCTCTGAATTCATACCAGTGTAAGGGTGATAGATGACAATTCATTTCTTAAAGCAAAAACAACATCGACAATTTGACCCCTAACCCGATTTTGTCACGATCCCGTTTCATTTCTCACTCAAATTTGCAAAACATTAAATTGACCCCGACGTAATTTGAACACGCAACCTTCGGATTTGGAGTCAGACGCGCCACCGTTGCGTCACAGGGCCGTCTGAAAGCCAGAAAACTATAAGGTACTAAGAGTAGACGGTATTCCTTAATATGTTCCCTGTTACATCTAAAAATCTTCCCTTTTTACACAGAACGTGATATTGTGCTCTGAATTCATACCAGTGTAAGGGTGATAGATGACAATTCATTTCTTAAAGCAAAAACAACATCGACAATTTGACCCCTAACCCGATTTTGTCACGATCCCGTTTCATTTCTCACTCAAATTTGCAAAACATTAAATTGACCCCGACGTGATTTGAACACGCAACCTTCTGATCTGGAGTCAGACGCGCTACCGTTGCGCCACAGGGTCGTCTGAAAGCCAGAAAACTATAAGGTACTAAGAGTAGACGGTATTCCTTAATATGTCACCTGTTACATCTAAAAATCTTCCCTTTTTACACAGAACGTGATATTGTGCTCTGAATTCATCAGGGAGATAGATGACAATTCATTTCTTAAAGCAAAAACAACATCGACAATTTGACCCCTAACCCGATTTTGTCACGATCCCGTTTCATTTCTCACTTAAATTTACAAAACATTAAATTGACCCCAACGTGATTTGAACATGCAACCTTCTGATCTGGAGTCAGACGCGCTACCGTTGCGCCACAGGGTAGTCTGAAAGCCAGAAAACTATAAGGTACTAAGAGTAGACGGTATTCCTTAATATGTTCCCTGTTACATCTAAAAATCTTCCCTTTTTACACAGAACGTGATATTGTGCTCTGAATTCATACCAGTGTAAGGGTGATAGATGACAATTCATTTCTTAAAGCAAAAACAACATCGACAATTTGACCCCTAACCCGATTTTGTCACGATCCCGTTTCATTTCTCACTCAAATTTGCAAAACATTAAATTGACCCCGACGTAATTTGAACACTCAACCTTCGGATTTGGAGTCAGACGCGCCACCGTTGCGTCACAGGGCCGTCTGAAAGCCAGAAAACTATAAGGTACTAAGAGTAGACGGTATTCCTTAATATGTTACCTGTTAGATCTAAAAATCTTCCCTTTTTACACAGAACGTGATATTGTGCTCTGAATTCATACCAGTGTAAGGGTGATAGATGACAATTCATTTCTTAAAGCAAAAACAACATCGACAATTTGACCCCTAACCCGATTTTGTCACGATCCCGTTTCATTTCTCACTCAAATTTGCAAAACATTAAATTGACCCCGACGTGATTTGAACACGCAACCTTCTGATCTGGAGTCAGACGCGCTACCGTTGCGCCACAGGGTCGTCTGAAAGCCAGAAAACTATAAGGTACTAAGAGTAGACGGTATTCCTTAATATGTCACCTGTTACATCTAAAAATCTTCCCTTTTTACACAGAACGTGATATTGTGCTCTGAATTCATCAGGGAGATAGATTACAATTCATTTCTTAAAGCAAAAACAACATTGACAATTTGACCCCTAACCCGACTTTTTCACGATCCCGTTTCATTTCTCACTCAAATTTGCAAAACATTAAATTGACCCCGACGTGATTTGAACACGCAACCTTCTGATCTGGAGTCAGACGCGCTACCGTTGCGCCACAGGGTAGTCTGAAATCCAGAAAACTATAAGGTACTAACAGTAGACGGTATTCCTTAATATGTTACCTGTTACATCTAAAAATCTTCCCTTTTTACACAGAACGTGATATTGTGCTCTGAATTCATACCAGTGTAAGGGTGATAGATGACAATTCATTTGTTTCTCATTTCTAAAAGCAACAACAACACCGACAATTTGACCCCTAACCCGACTTTTTCACGATCCCGTTTCATTTCTCACTCAAATTTGCAAGCATTAAATTGACCCCGACGTGATTTGAACACGCAACCTTCTGATCTGGAGTCAGACGCGCTACCGTTGCGCCACAGGGCCGTCTGAAAGCCAGAAAACTATAAGGTACTAAGAGTAGACGGTATTCCTCTATATGTTACCTGTTACATCTAAAAATCTTCCCTTTTTACACAGAACGTGATATTGTGCTCTGAATTCATACCAGTGTAAGGGTGATAGATGACAATTCATTTGTTTCTCATTTCTTAAAGACAACAACAACACCGACAATTTGACCCCTAACCCGATTTTGTCAGGATCCCAATTTTATTTCTCACTCAAATTTGCAAAACATTAAATTGACCCCGACGTGATTTGAACACGCAACCTTCTGATCTGGAGTCAGACGCGCTACCGTTGCGCCACAGGGCCGTCTGAAAGCCAGAAAACTATAAGGTACTAAGAGCAGACGGTATTCCTGAAAATGTTACCTGTTACATCTAAAAATCTTCCCTTTTTACACAGAACGTGATATTGAGCTCTGAAGTCTTACCAGTGTTAGAGGGACAGATTAGAATTCAACTTTTTCTCATTTCTTAAAGACAGCAACACCGACAACACTGCGTTTACTTAACCCGATTTCATTTCTCATTCAAATTAATTGAATTTTTACGTGTGTTTTAAAGGTGTATATAAACATGAATTGCAGGACTGGCGATATTACAGGCGACCCAAACAGCAAATGGGACTACGAATTGGACGACCCCAAGCACTGCAGCATTACCAAGGTTATCAGAAGATCTGTATTGCTGGCAGCCACCCGGGTACTCTTCATCTGATTGAGAGGTACCAAAACTAAGGAATCGAGATCAATGGGGAGTCGGACAACTTAGTACTTTGGATGCAATCATGGCATTTCGTATGCATAGTCCGCATATTTGCCATGTTTTTCCTGAATCTTGTCAATCATATCAGTGTCAAGAGGGATAGAAAATTCTGATTTCATTGGATGTAACAAAAAGGACAAGATCAGGTTTGTTGGCCAGGATAGGTGTGAGGCTGTATACGGGCCTATTCCAAAGAATTTTTTGTATTTATCATTTCCCATGACGCCATCTACATGTTCTGGATCGTACCATGGATGGACCTGTGTCTAAACCACTAACATAGTGAAGACGGTATTAAAATGATCGCGTCGCTTAAGATACTGCGTTAAGAAGTGTATCATAAACCGTCCCAGATGCTTTACAAATACATGTTTGCTATCCATACAGAAGTTGAAAATGTCCCATGGTTAAAATTTATTGAGAATGTATTAGATAATTGCGACCTGTCATATGTATTTCAAAACCCATCGGAATGTTCCACGCCATGGCTGGCCTCAATGGTTGAAAATACAGTAAAGTACGGTTATAACGAATAAGGGACTACTTATTTTAGTTCGTTATAACCGTAGTTCGTTATAAACATATATACAGCATGACTACAGCAAATAGTCGGGACCAAAAAAGTAAGTTCGTTATATCCGTAAGTTCGTTATAAGCGTGTTCGTTATAACCGTAGTGTACTGTATTCCAAAGGGTCGTATTAACAGTACTTGAAGAATCAACCGTCATTTGAGAAATATCTATTGCTCTCAAAATCAATATTTCTACCTATATTAAAATTCAGAACTACTAACCATAGATTACCCTTTGAAACTGGCTGACCGCCAGTGTCCACTCTGTGATTCAATCGCTGTGGGAGATGAATTTCACAACCTATTCCGATGTGTAGCTTTTCCCCAACAGCGATATGAACTCTTAAATAAGCATTATCTTCAATTTCCAAACATGTCCCTTTTTAAGAAAATTATGACCACAAAAAGTGTAAGAGATCTAAAAGGCCTATCTAAATTCCTTAACAATGTGTTCAATTCAATTGGTAAATTGTATTGGTATCCACGAATCCTATTCTTGTTAAATGCTGTCATTTTGTACATAATAAAAAGTGTATATAATTGTATCTCATGTACCACCGTGGGTGGTTTTTCTGAGAATAAATGAGTTTGAGTTTGAGTCAAGCTCTTCAAATAAACTAGTTTATGCCAAAGCTGACAATCCACTGACAATGTGTTGGATCGTCTCATTAAATTCAATGCATAATCTACATTTCATATTTAATTTTGATGCAAAATCACACATATGGTTTTTCGAGTGGGAAGGTTTACTTTCCAGGCCAACGACTTCATCCAAACGAAGGACTGCGCAGGGTTGCCATCACCAAACATTGAGATCATGACTATATTCCGACTAGATCACGAGTATATTCCGACTAGATCAAATACTGAGGATACCCTGGTATTCTCGAAAAGTTGAGCGTATCCTGACCCACCGGTGACGTCCGTCACCTTGAGATTCAAGATTCAAGAACCGACGTTCGTGAATAGCTGTCGTGATGAGGCTAGTCAGTGAGGGAATGTGTACAAACGCGTTATCGCGCACAATGCTCTTTTTGGTAATGAGTGTCTCAATATACAGTTTTCATCAATACTAGTGAGTGAGTGAATTTTTCATCGCATCGGCAATATATCAGCCATATAGCGATTCATCGATACTAGAAAATGAGCATATCTCGTTTATTGAGATTGAATATGTCCGTAGAAGCTTAACGCTCCTCGTAACTTGTTTGTTTGTCGCTTCGGTTCAGTCGTCGGTTCATAAACCATATTTGAAGACGTTGGAGACAGAAAAACAGACAAAACTTTTCAGATTTGTGTTTTATATTAAAAGTTGTAATTTCAACTTTTTTTCATAAATATTTGACATGGTGACAAAAAATGTATTTACAGTCGTCAAAGGGCACCCTCTCGTTTCTTATTTACATAATTCATGTACCCCGGACAAATACAATGCAAAATCTTAAAATCACATAATGCCATGTGTCCTTGAAATCACTTTAGCTGTAGTCCTTGGTGACAGTCACAGACACTAGCACAACAGTCGTACTGCACAACACAGAGTCAATGTTTATTTGCACATAACCTCCGTAAGTAAAATCTCATATTGCAGACTTCGGGTGTAAAGTGGATGAGCCGCAGTGTCTATAAATCTCGTTTGTTCTCGTTATAAAAGTCAATTTCTTTCTCACAAACTAATAGTCATTTTCACATTTGGTCACGGGAAGTGGCGAATGCGTGTGTGCCATAGTGACCGGAACTTGCACGTGACTAGAGAGAACGGATGAGGTTGGTGAATGATGTTCTGGCTTAGCGTCATACATGGAATGTGATGGCACGAGAAGCTGGTGCTGTGACGTCACCGGGGGGAGGCTGGGCATGGTGGGGGAGACCTGAGAGTACTGGGGTGGGATACCGGACATCTCGGAGGGGGAATCAGGGGACATCTTGTCAGTGCTGTCCTTCTTTTTGTTCTGTTTCCTTTCCTTGGCCCGACGGTTCTGGAACCAGATCTTGACTTGTCTCTCGGACAGTTGGAGTTGGTTGGCGAGCTCGGCTTTACGGCGGATGGTGATGTATCGGCTGTAGTGAAACTCCTTCTCCAGTTCCAGACGCTGGTGATCACTGTAAACAACGCGGTACTTGTCCTTGGTGCGTGTCTTACCTGCAATAAAGAATATATACATAAGAACAAGCATAAAACACCATTGACAAAGGACAACGACAGCATGGGATTCAGAGAAATCAGGAAATATGTGTAATAAATTTTGTCGTCTTAGAAAGTTCATTGACAGGACCAAGCCCAGCAAATGTTTGTTCTAAGCGTTGTTCCTCTTAAGCGTTATATTGCCGCCACGCGAACACACCACCGATTTCTCTTTGACAGGGGCAGAGTAGTCCTGACTTTTGTACACACGCTAGATTAGATTTGTAATTGTAGTTTCGGGGCCAATATTGATTTCAGTGAGCTATCAGCAACCATCCGGTGCTGGCTGTGACGACATTCCACGGTAATCCACCCCTACGCCATCTCCTGGAGACCAGGAGTCAGGCTTTCATTTGACACATCGCACACAGGAGCCTCTCGCTTGATCTCAGGATGAAAGGCCAGGCAGCTAACGATTAAGGTTAAACCTTCCGAGTGAAATGGGAGCCTCGTTTACACCTTCAGCGTCAATTGAGCCCACGGTTTTAACATTAAAATACGAAAAAATACGTGTAACTAATTGATCCAAGCAAATCAGTTGACATCCTTAGTCAAACACCAGAACACGTTCAAACCACTGTTGGTCTTTCATGCCTTTACCATGATACTACGCTTCGTGCTTCCACTGCTATTCTTACCCTATAAATCTTTACTTAGAAATCTTGTTGGTAATCGTATCTCAGGATTGTTTTTTGATAGATTCACGCTCGAAACGTGTGTGATTACAGATTGACTTTATGATAGAATGCGGGTGTGAGATTTGCAAATAACCACTTTGCCCGAAGTTCACCCTAAGCTTGTAGATAAGAACGCTGTCCCTCTCTATGGAGGTTGGGGTATCACTGGGTTGAAGCGGGTATACCAAACATGGTCCCCGGGACAAAGCCTTCTAGATAGTGTGTATTGTGCACAGAGCCTCGGGTACAAGTATGACACGAATAAGTCCTACAAATTGATGAACAGTTACTATGGTCTGCACAAGTAGTTGTGAGAGGCCCCGCTATCTCACAGCGCTAAAACTAAGGATGAGTAGCCATGATACTTCACGGACCGTGGGGTGTGATCTTTGATGGATTAATCGCGATTAGCGTAAAGGATGATCACCTCGAAGATTAAACGGATTAAAGCAAGATCTGGCGTTAATTAACTAGGAGAGGGTAATGACTACGTCTGGGGAGGGATTAGGCCATTAAACAAAGAATGAATAAATGTAGAATGAAAACAAAACGGTGATGATTGGTAAGTTCCAGACAGTCTGACGACAGTTACTCAAGAGGTATTTTAAACTTTCACCGTTATGATTTGACATTTGTTTAAAATATGTGTTTTTTAATGCCTAACCTCTTTATGGTAACATGTATGCTTATTTAAGCCCAATTCATTTCAATATTCGCTTCCTATCAACATCCCCAGTTCTAATAAGTCATCAGAAACACTGATTGCCCCTCCCTCTCGCAGTATCGTTTGATGTCTCTATACGTTTTGTCCTATTCAACGCATTAGCACCACGCTGTGAAAGTTTTACAAATTCAATTATTCCTTGACAAGATTGTAAATTTCCTGGGTGTTATAGGTATAATGAAAATGAGGTTGTAATGACGGCGAGAGGAGAACTCCCAGAGCGAAAGTCAACATTCCGTGAATGTTTGCGGTATTCTTTAAAGCCGCCACAAGACTTACCAAACAATAGAAATGGTCACGATGCAAGATTCCTTATTGTAACTGATTGAAGTTTACACTGTACATACATGCTACCCATAGGACTAGCATTAGGACATTCACATACCCGCCTACTCCGCCCCTAATGAGGTTCAAATGACTCCAGCGTTACGAGTTGGCAATGCATCGCTAACTTTACCTACGTTGACAAAGACAGCAACGTCACAGATCGATACGCCCGGGTGAGGTCAGTCCACTGGACGCGGTCACTTCAAAGATTAGGATCACTAGTTCTTTAACCCCTTCGACCCATCAATAAAATATTACTTAAATCAGGTACTTAAAAACACATTGGCAACTTATCGTGAGAAATCGGGATTTCGTCCGAAATTCGAGGTAATGTTATCTGTTTGTGAAGTCATGGGGAAAATGATAACGTCTAAAGATATTGATCAAAATTATCACAAAATAAACAATTGTATTTTAGGTAAACAGATGACGTTTGAATTTTATTATGTCAAAGATCTATTATATTTTTAATAATATATTTACTAGATTACTGATATCCATTCATTCGTCTTAAATTCATAGAAATAAGTTTCAAAATGAAAAATTTAGTAAAAAAAATCAAGTATATATATAAGTGTCAGGATGGGGTTTGGTGTGTGGCCGTATGGATGGGGGGTAATTAGCACACCTATGTCAGGTGAGAAGGAGACGCAGGGGGGTAGTAAACAGGAAGGTGCGAGATGGGAAACATGGCGGTGTATGCATGAGATTCCCCCCGACACGCTTCATTGAGGGGATTAGTGTTATTGAGAGAGAAAGGTGCCTTAAGCTAGATGATATGGAATTGTAAAAATATTGTTTTTATTTCTGAAAGGCGCGTTGATCCCGATTGTAAAGTGATCAAGAAACCTCTGATGACTGAGACAGACACTAACTACACTGTCGCGACTCCTTGATTAATGGATTAACTTACTTCAACCTTGATTGGATTAGCAAAAATGTTGTTTTAGAGTACACTAAATTTGTGGATAGTTCATTTGTGAATTTATTCAAAAATACAAAATGCAAATTTCAAGCTATTTAATTTAAAATGTGTGACGTGCACAGTCGAAAGCTGAAAATCCTTTTTTACACGTCTACCTGTTCAACATTGTAATATAAAATGTAATTAATACGATAAATTTTATTAATCGACTCGTTATAAGGTTCAGTACAAGGCTCTGTACAAACCTGTTTTCCCACATATATTGATCGCAGGTTTGTCATTATTTTTAAAAAAATGAAAATTTAACTTACCAGGAGCAGGAGCTTGTTGTGAACATTTCATCCATTCGAAGGGTGCTCGGAGTTGCTTGGCGTTGTTGCTACCCCCGGGGCTGAGACTTGCTGTTGTGCCGGGCGGTGAACAGGAATCCTGGGGGTGAGGATTGTCTAGAACTGTTAGGTGAGGACTGTCCGCCTGTGTGACTACTGGCTGGGGGTACCCCGTCTCGTGGGTGCGGTAGGAGTAGTTGTAGGGCCCCTGCTGGAGGGCGGCGCTGGTGGTGGGGACAGTGTAGGCCTGACCCCAGTCTTCGATCCCCCCGTGAGCAGGGCGGGGTGCACTGCCGTACATCCAGGACTGTTGAAGAGCACTAGGGTCGGTCATAGCGTATTGTCCATAATCCTGACCGTATCCTCCCTGGGTGGGGTACCCAAAACTAGGGTAGCTGTAGGTGTTTGGCGAGGGTCGGGAAGCGAACATCGCGGCACTATTCTCGTGACACAGGGCCATGCTTATGTAGAAAGTCTCAGTATATGGCGGTGATGTACGGGAGTTGACCCGACAAAATATCACAAGTCACCAGTAAAAGCTCCAAGAAACTGACGATACGGAAATATTTCTCCAGCTTTTCCTCGTGTCGATAGATAGAAGATTAAAATGTGATATATCAGAAGACGAATTGAGTGTACAGGCTGTCACTGATAAATCCTTGTTGAATCGGATGTAAGTACAGACTGATGTTCGACCCGCTATTTACATGCGGGATATGGGTGGAAGCTCCGCCCCGTCTGCTGCCTAAGCCCCGCCTCCCGGCCTTATCGACCAATGGACTCGCGGCGACAGCGGGCTGGTCAGGTCGACGGTATGTCTGAGGTAGGTGTTTGTTTCAGTGGGCAAGAGTGTGAAAGTGCTGTGGCAGCCGCTGACACCAGTTTCCGTGATGTACTGTCACTAGTTTAGGATATCTACGCCCGAGACGAGTACCTCGGCTACATTTTTACAACCCTAGACAGTCGTGTTGATTGACATGCGATGACAGGTTGTGATTTCTAGCAATCAACATAACATTATCAAATAAATCACCATTATTTTTATTTAAAACATAAAACTACAAAAAATATGAAATCAATTTAACTTCTTTATATACGCTTTATATCATACTGACATTATATGGACATCGAAAATCTAATGAATGTGCGACAAAGCCCAAATGCAAGCGAAATTAGTAATTTCATTATACATGTGAGTTCTGTTTGTGATGTAATAACGTACAGTCGTGTAATGTAAAACAAGAATTCATTTACGCAATTATGTCTAAATACTCCCCTGTCTATCTCCTGCAAGGTCTATAGGTGACACGTTATGAGAGTTAAATCAGAATATACAAGCATACAAAATATTTCATATTTTATAAGATCAGGTACAAATTGCGTCGTTTTGCTTCTTATTCCATCATCCACCAAATGACACCAGTCCAACTCTCAATGGCCGTTATTATTATTATTATTATTATTGTTGTTGTTGTTGTGTCTAAATGCTATAATCGATAGATATGTCTGTAAGTAGAGATGTTCAGATAAGCACCCTGTTTGTTCATTGATCGTTTATATTAAATTAAATAATTTGTTTAACCTATATATAACCTAAGTTTACACCTAATTAACCAGCCACTGATCTAAACAAGACTCTGTTTTCGCATTTCAATAAAGATTCCGCTCGCGAACAGTAGTAAACGGTTAATTTATAATGTTCATTTTAATCACGGCCCATCAGATTGCTCGTAAATAGTGAAACCTTTACTTTTAATTATTCCTATGAAGCGATTAATTTCACCTCATGACCTCTGCGAGGTGAAGTAAATAAATTTGTCTATAACACAGGGTCCATATACTATAATCTGTTGTTTACAGCTTCGAGCTGGAATAAACCCTCATAAAATTGTCGCTTCATTTCGTTCTAGTACCTTCGGACAATGATGCACGGGATTTTGTTGCAAGTTTCAAATAAAGGTCAGCTCGTTATGTCGAGGAGCAAATATACACCTTTTACTTCACCCTATCTCGACGTTATACACTGATGACAAAACATCAAGGGAAAAAATATAACCGAATAATGTTAATCAACAAAATAAGACACCAAGAGAATTTTAAAAATCTATGTTTTTCTACAGTTTATTATTGTCGCTTGGGACATGTGCTAAGCCATGTTAAAACAAGACCTGCTTTTATATAGACAATAGTTTATTAACGTCTCACTCCTGTACATACATAAAACAGCTTTATACAACTTGACATAGATAAAATGTACAGAACCATTCAATAGAATTATGAGAGACGAATTATCACAGAATTCATACATAAATGATATAAAGATGATATAGTAAAAAGTTATCCATATAAAAGATGTTTTCTACGGTTAAGAATTAAAAAGCAGACTTTGGCAAGTATAAAACACACACTGGAGTCACTGAAAATAAAACAAAGTTTGTCGACATCAGGCATATCTAAAACATTATAAGATTTAGCAATACATTCATTAAAAAGAGTTGCCCTGATATCATCATATAATGCGCAGTGAAACAAAACATGGACCTCGTCTTCTACGCTGTCATTACAGTGAAAACATCTTCTATTATTGACAGGTACACCTTCGTATCGACCGGTTTCCACTCCAATAGGAGCCACACCACATCTAAACTTGGCTAGTGCCGATCTATAGTTTCTGGGCATCTTATTTGAAACATAGTATTCTGTATACATACTTAACAAAAGCATTAGCGATCGTGAATATTTATGGGGATATTTTGCTTCGTAGAGAAGACTGAGCACACAATGTCATAAATATCCCCAACAATGTTCATGATCCCTAACGTTTTAGTTCAGAAAAGTTTTCTTATTACGTCATCCAGTAGATATTCGTCAGAAAATATCGTATTTTGAACCCTAATGCCGATGAGACGCACAGGTGCAGTTTCATCTCATCTATTTGTTTATTTACATTGCTTCCCCATCAGAAACTATATACACATATATGGATATTGAAATATATATTCAAGTGTGCACGGTCTCATGTCTCGGTTTTTTAATGTATAGGTGCATAATTTTGTTAATTCCAATTTCTTGTTCTTTCATACAAGTAAGGCATTGTGCACAGATGCACGGTTTGATAGTGTTAACTTGTAAATTGTATAATTGAATATATATATCATAACGCATTTCATCGTTGACCTTGACAATATATCAAAATATCAATATATCCGTACGCATTGACGCAATAGTCTGTCAAGTCCCTGGACATCTATAATTGCGGTCTTTCTGTGTCATTGTTTCAGCTCTTCAATGTGAATTGATTGAAACATCAAGAGCTGGAGTACGTGAATGACAAAACGATATTCGTATGAAACAATAGGTTTTTTTTCAACATAAAACAAGAAAACTGCCGGGAAAATGAAGGCATACACTTGGACTTGACAAAAAAACATTACAAATGTTATCAAAAAGTTATTTGGCCGTAAAAATCGCACTGTTAACTTGAGGCCCGAAGCACAGCTATGATACCTGTATCACTACATCACCATCGAATAGCCATTTCTTGTTTGTTAACTTTAGACACCATCAAACCTTTTTATAATTTCTTTTGCCAGCCAGTTTATAACGGCAATCGCTGAGATAATTTAACCCTGAAACTATTAACAACGGGGAGTGCGAGCGTCAACGATGACAGAGAGTTTATCTCTGTGCATAGTTTACACGATAATTTCTTTACATCATAGTTCACTACGGCTGATTGTATGTGGATTTTCGGAGCCAATATTTGACCATAAAACTTTATCAAACTCGCATTTGTGTACATGTATTTGGAGAATAATCGGCCGAATCTCTGTGTAACCCCGCCCTGAGCTTGTTTTATGGGGGGTTACAACACTCGAGTAGAGGTGGGACGAGGAGGGGAGATGCCTAGTGTTCCAGTGTCGAACAACAACAGGAATAAAACGTTTTCCTATTGCTGTGTCACAGTTCATATACTTCACATAATTAACAGACCTGGACAGGCCATAATACTAAATAACTGAATTACTATTTCAAAAATAAGATTATAATTATTAACCATATAAAATTTGAAAGAAATCCAATGAATTCTGTTCTGTAACTGTGAAATCTTCCAGTTATCCCGCCATACTATTTTATAAAATATTTAATTCAAAATGAAAATTGTAACAGGTCTATCAATTATTTATTTTAAATTAAATCAATTTGTTTGATATTCTCTTTAGTTACTAATTTACAATGTATGTATAAACACGGATATAATTATATGCATTCATCTTTTTGATAAGTATTTGAGTAATATTCCCAAAACACAAATTTATCATGTTAAACTGATTGAAGTAAGCAATGTCTGTCGACTCCGAGCCTGCAGTCACATATTGTCAATTCTATGAGTTCTGGATACTGATGTTGCCCTTGTAACAGCTGTTTTGTACGGTTCTTATGCTAATTATCATATCTCGTACAATGGTTAGACAGTATATAGCTTTTCAACCAACAACAATTTTCACCACAATAAACATTCAACTTTTCATGCAATATGGATGTTAACTTCAAAAATGTTAATATTTTCCTTAATGAGTTCCGACTCACGTTTTTCGGAGACCTTTCTGTAGGATATTATATATACAAGATGTCGCCAAATGATACTGTTTTTAGTATACAGTATTATGACACGAGAATAAAACAATATCTTCTTTTGTAAAAATGTTTCCCCAGATTAATTGAAACATAACCTTAGTAAATATTATTTCGAATTTTTCACTAATTTTGTTCATGATGTATATACAAATTTATGTTTGATCGAGCTGATGTATTGATCAGGACGATTGGACGACCTCGAGTATATTTTGAACAATTGCTTCTCACATTATATTATATTATTAATTAAATTAATCAACTCGGAGGTTTCTTTTCTTTTTAAATTCAGACATCACCCTCTTTATTTTTTAGTGTTTTATTTCCGAATAGAGAGCGTTAAGGGACCAGCCGTGTATTTGTCTTTTTTGTTAAATCAAGTGTTAACACCATGTTTTAGCGTATACATACATCCATACATATATAACAGTCTCTCTCCCACAGAATGCTAATACTCTCGGGCGTCTTTACAATTGCTTTACAATTGCACAATGGAAAATATTTATTCATAGTTAAAACCAGAGGTAAATAAAGAGAATTAATTAAATCATATGTTTCATTTTTAACTGATTCCATGGTATCCGATTAATATAAATAATCGTGGTCTTCAGAAATGTTCTATATCTTATGTTACAAGCGCTTGTCTAATGGTCTGATGCTATCAGTGGCTATGATAGACTGGTGCAACATTCATTCCCCAGACTCTCATCTATTCAGGTTCGAGTTAAAGCACAAATATCCATATCGTAGTGTGAAATTCAAATCTCCCGTCAATTGCAAGTATCTATGTTATAGAACAGACCTATCACAGTTACAGCTCCTTGTGCCTGCAGCGCATTATGTTCAAGGCGTGTAAGAGCGTCTCTATCAAAGGACCGATCAGCGGGCGGCCATCTCTTTCCGGGGCTCAACCGTACACGACAAATATATCAGTAACTACAGTTAGTACCGACTTTGAAGTTCAACTGTAGCTGATTAGACAAGTGGACATGATAATGTTCCATCTAACTGGACACTCGGACACATGGACACTGAGCCTA